AACAACCATAATGACTGCTGCTCTGAATTGCTAGTTATGAACATCTCCATGTTAAGAAATGTTGAGTAGAAGTACTGATATTCAAACAAAGAGAAAAGACAAATACATAAAATGAAAACCTTAATTTCAAGAATATTACTACTCTTAAAATGTCTATTTAAGAGGTGAGCAAACTTTAGCTATTTGCTGTTTTGAAATCTTGAGATATTATATAATCAAATTAGAAAAAGAAGATGTTCTGACTCTACTGCATTGTAAAGGAAACCAAATTCTCTGATTTGCAAGGTTCTCCCTCAGCAGGGAGGCAGAACTGGCATCTTCCTAATGATGCCGATGATGAAGTAACAAGGCCATGAACCAAGAGTGTATATCCAGACAATAGCTTCTTTTTCTAAGTAACTGTCAAAAAAAAAAAAGGTATTAATAGCAACACATATAAAACTAAAAAGTTTATTTGGGTAGAAACTTCAGAAATCCTGAAGCCAGCGGAGAAAAAAAAAAAAAAAAGAAAAAAAGAAACTTCAGAAATCCATTTTTATATGGTTGTGTTAGGTAAACCTTGCTTTTAAACTTTTCAGAACAAAATCATCTTGATTATGATGAACTGTATACTTGGGCGCTTGATCGCTCACCTACCTACCCGCTCACATACTCAGAGTATGAAAAAGTCCATTCTGTCTCCAGGTATTCCTTTAGCACCTGGTGGAGAGTTGGCCACCAATTCAGATGAAAAATCTCCATATGCCACCTCTATTTTCAAAAATAGGTATTTGCATCTGCCATCCACAAACAAAATCTGCATGCCAAGCACTTGCCAAACAACATAACCTTCAACTGTCCAGTGCATATTTAAATTTGAACTATCATGTCACAAAATGATATGCCATAATAGATTTTTTTTTATCCTTATGAGTTACTAGTTCTCAACCATGGTTACGCAACAGTACTACCTGAATGTTTATGGTAGCATTATTCATAATACACAAAAGGTGGAAATGACCCAAATGTTAATCAACTGATGAATACATATCAATGATTCTATTTGTACAAGTGTTTCTCAGCTCTATATGCATGTCAGAATCTCCTGAGAAGGGCTTGAAATATTCCTTCCTGGGCTCACCCAACCTGCCTAAAAGAAAAGTGTGGGCCCAGAACTTGAGTCTTTTCAAACACTCCCCTAGGCGTTTCTTATGCACACATGATTTTGAGAGGCACTGACACAAATAAAAGTAAGACTGGCAGTCAGAGTATCCTCGTAAAATTCATATCACTGCATAAAATAATATAAAATGTATTAAATGACTGTGCATAAAATGATTTTATATTAAATAACATTTGGTTCCTGCTTTAAGTCATGAAATTAAATTGGCACACATTCATAAGATGATTTGTAAAATACTGTGAAATTACCCTATCTTAAGGGGTGTAGTATTTAAATATAATTTTAGGGCATATGCCTTGAGGTCAGAAAACCCAATCCTGACTCTTGCATTTGCTAATTGAGTGATTTTACCTGATTCTCTATCTAAATACAGAATGTTACTCTCACCCTCACATAGTGGGATTATGGGTCTGACGTCTTCCACTTGCATTTAAGTTTCATCTACATTGTTGCATGAATTAATAGTTTCTTTTTACCACCGAATAGTATCCCATTGCATGGATGCACTACAGTTTGTTCATCCATTCCTCTGCTGAAGGAAACCTGACTGCTTCCAGTTTTTAGTGATTAGGAAAAAAGCTGTTAGAAACATTCACAAACAGGTTTCTGTGTAGTCATAAGCCTTTTAAACCCTTGGGCGAATACCTAGGAGCACAACTACTGGGTCACATAAGTCTATGTTTAACTTTATAAAAAACTGGCAATTGTATTCCAAAGTGGTTGCACCATTTTACATTCCCACCAGCAAGGATTACGTTTCTGTCGTTTTGCATAATTTTCAGCACTTGTTATAGTAAGCTTCTTGTATTTTAGCCATTTTAGCAGAAGTGGTATTTTCTCACGGTATAGAAGTATTTTAAGGGCTGTGTTGCTTGTCTTTAAATTCAAACACCATACAAAATTTTAATTTAAAACCTTCACTTTAAAAATAAGATCCCCTGATATATAATCATAACATTTTAGACTGCAAATTTCAGATCATGTAGCCCTTTTCCTTCAAATTAAAAAAAAAAAGTCATTGCTGCTTTTAAGTATAAAAGTAGAATCCTTTTATAGGTAACATTTCTGAGAGCTCTACAACCCTGAGACTATCACCAATGTCTAACTGTGACCATGCACACATGTGCTCTGACTGTAACATTCCTGAAGACCCAAAGCTTAAGGCAGGAATAAGTCTGGTATGTCTGAGGAATAGAAAGAAGCCAAGTGTGAAGGAAACGTAATGGCAGGCAAGGTGCCTATAACAGATGAATTTGGAGAGGGGTTGGTCAGTTCATGTAGAGCAGGGTTCCTCAAGGTTGGTGTGTGTCCAAATTACCAGACCGCCCTATTATAAAAGACTGCAGCACAGTGCTCCAAGCTTCTGACCCTGCAGATCTGCAGGGCAGCCTGCAGATGTTTCCATTTCTAACGATTTTCCAGCTGCTTATGCTGCCTGCCCAGTGTCGCGTCTGGAGAACTCCTCTCAGGAAGCTGTCATATGAGGACAGGTTTGATCTCTATCACAAGTTGATGAGAAGACATGGAAGACTTTAATGACTGAATGATGTGCCCTGTTTTTAATTTTACATAAATTATGGTGGCTGCAACGTGAAAGCTGGATCAGAGGAGACGGGATGGTAAATGGGAAAGTAGAAAGCAGACTATTACTCATGAGGAAGGGCGGTGTCCTGAATTAAGGAGGGGAGATGTTGAGATGTGGATGTATTCAGGATGAATTTATAGAAAAGCTAACAGAAATTGTAAGTAGATTGGGTGTTAGGCTGGAGGAAGGAGAAACAAAGAGAATGTTAAGGTCACCAGTTTGAAAACTGCCTCTTTAGGAGACTTTATTGGGCCGCTAATCAGAAGTTATATTTCACAAATACTTAGTTTGAGATATCTGTTAATATACAATGAGAAATACCAAGTATGCAGGTTGGATATACAAATCTGGCAAAAAAAAATAGTAAAAAAAAAAAAAATCTGGAAGTCATTATCACATAAGTTATATTTTGAATCGTGGAACATATTGTGGTCATTAGTACAGATCAATGACTCTCAAGCAGAGGTGATCTTGCACCCCTCCCTGGGGACATCGGCAATGTCAGGAGATAAGTTTTGATCATCTTGACTTCAGGGTGGGGTGAACTACTGGCATCTATTTACTGGAGGCCAAGGATGCAGTTAAATATCATATGATGCACAAGAGAGTGCCTATCAACAAAGAACTATGCTGCTCAAAATACCAATAGTTCTGAGGTTAAGAAACTCTTGTACAGACAGAAAAATTATCTTATATAAACAATCCAGGGAGCAAAGGCATTTCTCAGATATGCAACTGACTGGAAAATATCCCACTTATGTACCCAACTTAAGAATTGTTTAAATATACATTGGCTAGCTGAGAAATGAATTTAAAATATCTCAAGAATTACATTACAGCATTAGATATAAAATGGCTATAGGAAAATAGTTACTACAAGGAAATAAGGTAGAATTAATAATAGTTTAAATAAGAAACCCTGATTTATAAATTCATCAGAATATATGTAATCTCCAGGGCTCTTCTGATCATGTAACCTGTACATCTTTGTTGAATGAATAAATGAACAAATATATAAGCAAATGAATGAATGGCATGGCTTAGCTCTCTTAGGTATTAACAAATACACATAACAAGGAAATCTGGAATGTGAGTGCAGACTCAATTTCTGGAGTGTGGGTATAGCATCACAAAATCTTAGAAATGGAAAAAATTCAACAGTGTAAAAGAGATAGACGAGGAAGACGATTTGAAATGAACAGTGATCCCAATGTTGGGGAAAATAATTTTAATACACACAATAATCCTACTATCTTTCATGATCTAGGATGACACGAGCTGTCTATCACCACCAGAAATTTTCAAGTAAGACTTTTGAAGGCTTTATTCTCTGGAAAATATCTGTGAATGCAGCGTTCAGGTCTGGGTAAGGTAGACCCACGTTGTACAAGACAATGTTATAGCCTAACCATTAGAACACATTTACTTCATAAAGAAGACTGCAGATAATCTTTCCTGCCGAGAGATCTTTATATCACAAATCTACCCTAAAGTTAATGCTTTTACTGCCAGAAAAAGCTAAGTATAGTGGAGAGATTCTGGAATTAGAGGATAAATATATTCTAGGTATGAGGAGGTGAGCATAGGGAAAAAAATAACTCAGTGTTAAATGGTACGTGAGGAAGGCCTTTTCACAGGGAAAATGGGAGAGGTAAGAGAGAGAAACACGTTGAAGAGAGATTCTGTAATGAGTTGGCCCATAATGAACACAAAGAATACGTGACTTCAAATATAAAGATGCTGCTTTTCACCCATGGGCAGAAATATTCCAGTGAGAATTACCTTTCACCGAGAAGGCAGAGTTAGCCTTACCATCACACTCACTGGCCACAGGACTACATGTTAGAGAATAAATCAGTGACTGTGATCTTACGTAGGCCTCTTCACACCCAAATCCTCACACAATACTTTCGACATTATTGACAATTATGTTTAATAAATTATGGCTTAGGTATTAACAAATACACATAACAAGGAAATCTGGAATGTGAGTGCAGACTCACAATTTCTGGAGTGAGTTTCTGTATTTCCCAAGAACTTTATACAGAAAGTCACACAATACTTTCTACATTATTGACAATTATGTTTAATAAATTATGGCTGTAAGCTGGGCTCACAGGAAATTTCAAATAAATCATTTTAGGTAATTTATGAATAGAAACTTCATGCAGTGCATATTGGTCCACCTTAACTCTGAATCAAAAGTAGTTAAAATTGTCTGACTTCAGACACACAGTGCCGAACGTAACTCACCCTTCCCAGTTCTTTATCCTCAAGGGCCAGGACCCCAGTGCTTTCGGTGAAGAGTTTTACTTTGACTACAGGTCGAGGGTGGGTAGTGGTGAAATCTCCTTGAGTTCCCCATCTGCAATGAATAACAAAGATTTTCTTTAAAATGCAGCATTAATTTTTTTCCAGACAGATGTGTCTCCTAAAAAGGCGCTTTAAGCAATATAGAATCTTTTGTGGTTCAGGGAGATTTTTATCTTTGCTTTTGTTTCTGACAGATGGCACGGCCAAGAAGGAAAATAACAGTAAGTTTTACAGCTTGTGATAATTATTCAGCTGTTCCAAAAATTAGCACAACAGAGTACAAAACATAGTGTGCAATTAGAATTTAAGTTAAGGTAAAGCATTACAGATGCAGCATTTTAAATCCACTTTTTCATTAATTCTAATACAAATTACAAGACTATTTTTATAGATGGCTAAAGAAAATTGCTAATGGGTTGTTTATGTAAGAGAGAATTTCTTGGAAAACCCTCTTTGCATGCTGAAGACTTTACCCCATCTCTTCTTGGGAAGGCTTTACTAGATATTTTATTTATATTTAAAAAAAATAGAGGTAATTATCTCAAGTCTATTACTTTATATGATTTTTTTAAAGCACCTGTCAAAAGGAAAAAGAGAAGCATCATAAAAATATGAGTGTTTTACAGTTAATTTCCCAATACACTCTCCTAGGAATGGAATAAGTCTGTCGACATCTGGCTTTTCAAATCATCATAACATGCTTTCTTGGCTTATCTTTTAATTAATAATATCTCATCTTTCCCACACACCAGTTCATCCTAGTATATTAAACTTAACTGGCACACATCTGATATTAAAAAAGCATATCAATATTCCTTATGACTCTGAGAGATCACAGGCATGAGATTCAGCATGGCATGGAATAAATGCCATTGAAAAAAATATACCGAGGAAAGGTGAGATTTAACAAAACAAAGGCAAGCTGCTGTAGGTAACCAAATAAAAATAGCAATTTTCTTATATTGTTTAAAATACAACTTGCCATTTTCAAGGCACTAAATTTTATTTTATAAAACTTTTTCAAAAAGCTTGGGAAGTACAATCAAGGAAAACAAGTATAATAAAAATTAAATTATTGTGATCGTCTTCCTTTCCCATCAGAGCAGTTACAACATCGTAATATGTGTAAAGCAGAGGCCACTGCAATGACAGAAGAAACTAGCACCCACATGCAGTTTGTTCTTTTCAAATTAAAGTCATGTCCCAAAGGGAAAAGAGAGAGAGGATGGAAAATCTGCTCAATTTCTATTCTAGAAAGAGGTCAGCAAAGAATATTTTTGTCATTTCATCAAAGTACGATGGTCTGAGATAAAGTAGGTCTAAAACAGGAATAAAAGTTAAAATAGATTCAGAACCAATATAGGGAAGAAAAATTTTCAATTCTGTGTGTGGGATCTTAAGCGTTGAATACAGTCAAGCAATCTGGATGACAACTCTCGAGGAAATGCCCATGATACATTCTTCATTTGGTATCGTGTGGTTAAATAAGGAAAACTAACTCATGGAGTTATTTTCTTATAACTGTAATAAAATATTTGTAGTAGTCATGTAGAAACAGTTTGTTTTCTCTAGAATTTTCCAATCTTTTAAACTAATTTTCTCCACACAAATACTTTCATGTATTAAATAATACTTTTCTCCTGTTAAAATCCTTTGAAAGTACGTTTTCTATGATCGCTCATAATTCCCAATCTATTCCAATATGTAATTCACCAGAGAGGAAAACACTGATTGACCCCAATGACCATCACTGAGGGACTTGGTGAATTTCATCTTTTACCTTCACCCTCCTACCATCTTACATGAAGGGAAGTGTCACTGATTCCCTTGTTAGAATGAGACAAATGGCAGTGCAAACGTAAAGAACTGTGCTCACTCAGGACTCTATGAACTTCCAGAAAAAACTGCCTTCTACCTCAGATCTTTCACAAACAAGCACCTTCAACAAATATTCTTTGATGGGGTTCAGGGCAGGCCACCCCAAAATATTCCATTTTGGTACACTGATTATTTTGACTTAAAGTTACTTACACAGCAGGTGCAAAAAGGACACTCTTGCCCTCCCTTGTCCCCCCTGAAAGCAGAAATAAATCTCCCATGTGAAAGGTACCCTCCCTGTACCAGGAGGTAGAGAGATATCCTAGTCACCAGGGAGGGAATTCAGGGGTGAGAAGGGGTGAAACAAACCTTGTTACTTCTTTACTGATTGACAACCACAGCCCAAATTTGTCTCATCAGGTCTTCACAAATTTATTGTTTAAAATGTATAAGAGCTGCTTGCTTCACTCAGTTCTTTGAGCCTCATTTTCTATGAGCTTCTGTATGTACAAGCTGGTTTTTGTCCCATTAATCTGTCTTAGGTCAATTTAATTAGACTGGACAAAGACCCTAGAAGCAAAGGAATACTTTACCATCCCTCCATCTTCAATCTCATTGTATGTATACCAACAATTTACTGCAGCACATCTTTCATTGACTCATTAGAAACATTTTATTGGGCATATCCTATACAAAGTGTCTAAAAATGTGATGTAGTTTAAAGAATAACATCATTATTTCTGCCACTCAGGTTAAGATGGAGATTGTACCAGTACATCAAGAGCCTTCTTGGTGCACTGCACTAGTCGCAGCCTCCTCTCATCTCCACCCACACTAGCACTGAAGTAGCGAGGATTCTGGGCAGGCCTTATTGTAGTAATTTCCTTGAAGTTCTTCTTAAAGGGAGTATGTTTAGCATTTTACCTCTGAGTGTCATCGTCATCATTATGCTAGGTCCTCTGCCCATTTTTTGATCAGGATGTTTTTTGGGTGAAGTTGGTATCCTATTTTGAAGTAAATATGTTCAATAGTAACCAGGCTCTCTGAATATACCTGTTTATTTTTTAGAATCCAAATATCATGATTACACTTGTGTAAAACTAAAGAACTAACACTATGCTAGTAATGATGATAAAGTACACCTAAGCTTAGATAAGTTACACAAAGAACCTAATCAACATATGGAGAGTATAGCCAGCAACTTATTAGAAAACAAGAGTTAGCTAAAATTTACAGGAGGTCTTTAGTAATTTAGAACTTGGAAGGAAATCTAGTATATCCATTCCCAAAACCAATATACCAATGAAGGAAGAAAACAGGTGAACATCACAGGTCCTGATAGGCAATCCATAAGAATGTATTTACCTACAAGGTCTGGGACCTCTGAGTGAAGAGGAGGGGATGCTAATAGCTAGCTCTTGTGAAATGAGAAAGTCTTAGATAATATATTTTCAGGCAGGGAAGAAGCTAAGGCACAAAGATAATAGTAGATCCTAATAGTCAGAGGACTAACTTTTACTGACATTTGACAAAAATGAGCAGTTTTAAAGGGGATGCAAAAATATAAATATGGTGGCATTTAATAGTCCTTATAAATTTCAATATTTCAGGATAAAAACTGGTACCACCTTGATCATTTATTTCTCATGTGAAAAAGAAAAGTTTAGAATAATATATACAGTTAGAAAATGCATATAAATTCTATAATGAATAAAAAATTAGTCTCCCCGTCTACTTGAAAAAAAAAAAAGAGGCATGGAAAGAAGATAACAGGCCTATCTTTAGTATTCATCAAGATATTTCCTTGTTTTTTACTTAATTGGCATGTTTAAATACTTTCAGGAATTAAAACCAGTTATTATCTTCCTACTATTTTCTCTGTAATTTGTGATAAAAGAATGCATTACCCTTACCGTCAATTTGCTTTGGCTCACAATACACTGCCTTTTTCTAGTATTATGAATGCATTATTTATGAGGATTCAGACTCCCAATGTAAATCTTCAAATGAAAAAAATACCTACACTGCACCTTCATGAGGACAGCAGGAATTCCTGGCTATGAAAACACAGGGTACTTCATATTCCTAATGAAATAACTGACATTAATTATGTATTTGCTATTAAATAAAGGATACTGGAAATTCATTTAAGGTGCCAAAATATATGTTCATGACTATTTATCCAGCAAGGCTATTTCTAGGAATTTACCCAACAAAATAATCGTGAGTATTGAAGAGAGTATAAGCAGGGCCATATTCACTATAATATTATGCACAACTGCAAAAACAAGCAATTTAAATGTCTAATATTAGGGCAATAATTATGCAAATTATGTGGCATACAATGGACTATTTTGCTGCTGCTTATAATGATGGTTTTGAAGGCAATGTAAAACCATTGTGATGTAAAGTGGGGAAAAAATTAAAGGAGAGGATATAAAATTGAATGTGGGCCTTTGATTCATTAAAAAAAAAAAAAACTGAGTACCTTGTATGTGCCAGACAATTTTCTAGTGTCAAGAACCAAGGAAAGTCTCTATCTTCTTGAAACTTATATTCTAATAGAGATTATGGACAAATAGTTTTATTATTATATACTGTAGTATATAATCTTCCCCACCTCTGCCCTACATTCTTAACACCTGAATATCTCCATGGCCTCTTAACACCAGGTATTTGGTAGCACTGACTTATTTTCCTGAGAAGTCAAAAATCTTTCTAAGTTCCCAGTAAAAGATCTGAAGCCCCTTTGTAATCTCTTGTGGGGTACAAGCCCAAGAAATTGATTTGGATTCCTCCAATTCATGATAAACAGGATTGTCTTGAGTTATTTTCCATCACTCATATTTAGTGACAAGGTAGATGGGCACTCTTCACAAGCTCTTTACAAGGGACAAAGAGGTAGTAAAGATGCATGAGAATGGGATGCAGTGGGGTGATGAGGAAGGCCTGATGGTATGTATCTTCGAGAGTATTGAATAGTATCATCGGCAACTTTGTGCCTTGGTGAGACCTGGACGCCAGGAGTATTTGTTGGCTGACTGAAGCCACACAGCTGTGTCCCTGCTTGTGCAGCTATGTTTATGCAGGAAGGATTAAGTGTTCTTTACTTACATACAGAAAGTTACCTCCGTTGTCTGCACCTCTTGTATCTTTGTCACTTACCATCCCTGCTCATTATGGCCATGAATACTTGAAAATAATCCTGAAGTAGGTGCGTTTATTAATAGAATT